CGGCGATTCAGTAAAACGCGGCCAAGTTAATGCGCGAATGCGCTCCGCGAAATGCAACGTGACGGCGAAACACGTCACGCCGCTTCAATTGCTTGAATAATGCACGACGATCTATTAAAATTAACGTGTTTCTGAAGCGGATTTAAACGCAGACAGAGAGAGAGAGAGAGCGACAGAAGGATAGAAGTGGGCGCTAATCCACCCCTGTTTTTCGAGGCGAATATAATCGTCGTTGTGCATTCAGCCAACCAGACTGTCGAGCACGCGCGCAGTTGGATTCACTTTTGCCGCTGCGGCGCAATCAAGAAATAATTAAATGCGATTTACTTTGGTCTGTATGAGTGTGCTTTCGCGTCACGATCAATTTTTCAGGGGATGTTCTAGCCCGCCGTATATTTCATCTTTCGTATTAGTTTAGTCATTCCTATTGCTAAACATATATATGCTATATCTGTCCCAGAATTTCTGATTCCATTATTAAATTGGTCTTTGACAAAATGTTGGGGTAACAAATATTTTTGGGTTGAAAGCAATTAAAAATAACTAGCAGACTAAGCTTCTAGGTAACAGCTATTTCACAAAACAAGTTTTAATACCTGGCTTTAATCCGGTCTGGTCAAATAAATTCTCGTCTACGTTCTTGAAAGAATGCTGTGCATGCGAGTAACCTAAATAGTTTTAAGTGAACAATAGAATATCCGTTTCTGACATGAGCATTTTGCTCAAATGTAAAGCAATTTATTTAATTACTAATTATGCTATATTTTGTAATAAATATCAAATTTTTTTTTATCAACACGCATAAACTCTTACTTGAGAGAAAATCAACCTAAAATTTGTCAAAGAGATTTCTAACAAAATCAAGGTCGACAGTCTTGGGACACCTTATATCGATCGTCGGCGCGTTGGACGTCTCGCTCCTTTTGCGATGACGTTGCCTTGAACGGGTGTCGCGTTTCGCGCCTGAGAGAGAACTCGGTCAGCAGCCAGCTACGATCAGATGTCAATGGCGATTTTTCCGACCATGATATACGGGACGACCTAGATATTCCGGACGGCGACCGGCTTTTCGCGTAATGGGAAAACCGAGGAGTTCAATTAAATACCGGTCCACCGAGCGCCGTGCACCAAAGTCGAGATAACGAAGGGAACAAGGCTTGAACAGAAAAGCCGGAAAGAGTATGACATGGAACACACACGACAACACTATCGGCAAACGCCATAACTGAAGCTAATGAGTATAGAAGTTCGGACGACAGCTAATTTAACTAAAGCAGATTCACCACTGTAACGAGAGCTTAGGCAATGTCATTAAAACATCGACATAAGCATGATTCAGAACGGTTGGAGTATCGTTAAATTATATGTATCAAGTTATATTAATTAAAAAAGCATTCTAACAATTTGTAAATATTATAATTGACATTTTTACAAATGCTATTCTACATTTAAGCATCTAGAACACTTATATCAAAAGCATTGCTTAAATATCATTTCTAAATATGTTTTCTAATCATTAGTTGCAGCGTGACTATATTACGAAAGTATCTCGAAATAAAATAACAATTAGAATGCTTCTCGCTGGAGTACGTTACGTTTGTGCAATGTATTAAAATGTGATTTAATTTAATTTTCAAGCGTTAGAGCGTTTAGCGTTCGACAATTCGCTTCTCGGCACTCGAGCTGATTTTAAAATCGGCTCTTCAAATGCACCGTCGCGCGTTTAACGCGGTCGTACACCTCGTCAGCTCGCGGCGCGAGTTTTACTATATCCGCAACGCCGGCTACTGACGTGCAGTGGAAGTGCAGGTGACACGTGTACGGCGGCGATGGTGGTGGCGGTGGTGGCGGCGGCGGTGGTGGCTAGCCACCGCGATGCAGCGTGTGTATGTGTGTGTGTGTGTGCGTGAGGCGATTCCCGCCGCCGCGCACAATCGAACACCTGTGCGGTCGCACAGAAAATGACCGTAATTCGAGTCATTATTCTCGTTCTAAAAAAAAGAGCCTCTCTCGCCGGCCGAGACCGTCCCGACTTCCGGTTGCGGGCGAGCATTCCGCTCCGTTGCACGATCGCGCACGGACGAGATGGAATGAATTGGAGATCGATGCTTTTTCACGAGGGCTTTCCGGCGGATTAGGTGGTTTCTGCTGACTGTGACTCGAGATCCTTGAGCGATAACGAAGGATCGAATGTATTTGGGTCGACGTAGCGTCGCTGGTTCCGCGATAAACGGCTCGAGGTAAAACTAATAAGAAAGTTTTATATCGCAATTTTACCATCGCAAAATATAATCAAGAAAAATATTTTTACGATATATACTTCCGCGAGTTAATAAAATATTAATTTTTATTTCGTAAAGTAAATTCTCTCACTTTTGGAAAAGAAGTTTTATCGTATAAATAAAATTATATATAACAACATTCGAAAGTTAAACTTTCCCAGTAAATTATTTGTGAAAATTCCATCATTTTAATCCCATTATTAACAATAATTGGAAAGTTAATAAACGCTTTGCAAGTATAATAATTAGAAATTAAATTACATAAAATGTAATAAAATTTAGCAATGTACAAATCATATTTTAGCACTTTACGCTGATTAATAAAGTAAAAATACTTAATAAGAGATATTCATACTAGATGCAAGTTTGCACTTTTCTTAACAAAATGACTTTTTCCGCTAAGTTGAGGTCGTACCGTCTTTTTCGAGAAGTTCCCAATATCCTTCACTAATCTCACATGATTTTTTATCCGTGCTTAAAGATTGGCTTCGTAAAGGGTTAATCGCCACTATTAACCGTAACCTTAAGCTTGGAGCTTAACCCCCGACCTGTCTCCAAACGTTGCTTCTCTTTAATGTCTCGGAAGTCTTGCCAAGACTCGGATAACGAAGGAGCGCGGTTAAGCGGCGAAAAAGCAGCTTAACCTCCTCGCTTCTCGGCCATTTATTTCTTGATGACGCCTTGCCCGCAGCCGCGATCGAACGATAACTTTCGTCGCCCCGGCTGACGATAAGAAGCGACGCTAAACAAAAGCGAAAACGAGATAACGAAATGTTCAGGCGACGAGAAGCTCCGAAAAGAAACTAAAATCGTCGTCGCTTTTGTCGACGCCGTTCTCGTCGTCATTATTGTCGCCGTAGTTATTATCGTTGGTGCGCGCGATGTTTTTTTCCGCATGTCAAGAATTCAACAGGACAAAAATAAGTGTTTCATTTTTGCTCTTACATCGATTTTTGCACCGCGAGTAAATCGCTCATGAAGTGTTTATAAAGAATTCAACGTATCAGCAGCTCGAGACGCACATACGAAGCGGAAGTAAAATGAAAATAGAGGAAAAAGAGGTAAAACTCAAGCTGCGGATACGATGATTCAAGCTGGCTATCACACATCCCGTGATCGATACTCGAGCGGTCGAGAGATATTAAGAAGTTCGGAAGAAGGCGCGATAAATCTGTTTTCCACGCGGATATCATCGAAATTCCGCGGACGTAAGAATGCAAGGGGAAACATACAGAAGGCAGGAAAAGAGATGAAGACAGAGCGACTGAGAAGAATCAAAAGCAGATGGGGGATTGACTGGCTCGTGTCTTCGATTCGGGACTTTGGCGTAAAAGGCGCCGTCGAACCCTCCGATGAAACCGACGCAAAGGGGGTCTTACGCACGCACGCACCGACGTCGAGAGTGACAACGTATACAAATACACGCGTATATGTACCGTAAGAGCGTTCGTGCGTATAGGCGCGATGGACAGGCAGCGCGGAGAGCAGTAGCTATTGTTACGAGTATTATTTGCCGCTAATCAGGATGGGCGGTCGGCTCGAGTGCGGGTGTGTGATCACGTCTTTAAGCAAGCAGTATGTATGTGTGTATACATATATGCTTGTATACATACGCGTGGGTATGCGGGAGTGTGTGTACACGGACACACACAGAGAGAGAGAGAGAGAGAGAGAGAGAGAGAGAGAGAGAGAGAGAGAGAGAGAGAGAGAGAGAGAG